ATATATATATATTTATTTCAAATTACTATGAAGTTTGTATTCATTTTGTGTTGAGATATTAACATAGTATTAATGTCAACACTTACCATATCTATATTATGTTAAATTAACATAAAAATTTGTGTTCATCATTTGTGACATGCGATATATGTTAAATTCAAGCCAAATTTTCCAACTGTGTTCAGCATAGATTGCAACCTATCATTGGAACATCATTGGAATAATATATTCAAAAGTTTCTATAAACGATGTTGAGTGCATTACATTTCGATTACATCAAAAATATTGTCCGATTAAATCAATCTATTAAATTCTTATATTTAGATTGTGAAAGTCACACGACTTTTGGAGACGAGTTTTTGAGAATTTGGCCAATGCAGAAAAATAATGATACACAGGATGTTCATTTTTATCTTCGAGGTAGCTATAATGTAGAGATACGGTTATATCAAAGCCCTGGGTCACTGTTTCCGTGTTTCACGGTGAGATGGGAAAATATTTAATGTGCCTGATATATTTAGTTTTAACTTGAAATTACATGCAGAATACGTGAATATAAATAAAAAATAACAGAATATTTTAGGTAGAAATTGGGGACAATGTTACATTCTTGCTGTATCAAGAGAATGAGAAGTCAATGAAGCAACATTTGAAAGAAGTTATAATTAAAGGATTGATAGATTATTGGACTTGGAAAGAATTTACTATCAGGTCAACATTACGACGCACTTATATTAAAAATATTTAGATTTTTTTTACCATAATAATAAATTTACAATGTATAATATATATCTGTGTAGTATCTTTGGGACGCATTTGCATTTATTCTCGCAACGTATATATGGAAATGAGGAGATTCTAAATATAAATCATGATCTACTGATTACTTTACGTTGGTTCAGCATTGGAAGTCAAACGATAGCACATTGGACATTTTTCTGCTCACCCGATGGTAAATTCGACAATATCTATATCAAAGTTTATTTATTGTATGTATTTGTGTGAATAATACTAATTGTAAGTATATATTAAATATATAATTTATGATAATAAGATAAAAAGTAAATTTTAGTTTCTCTTACTTAGAAAAATTCGTATAAGGATGTAGACCAATACGAATTGTTAAACATAGGTGATATATAGTACTTGAAACACACTTCTTGTAATTTTGTTTAATTATTCTTCGTCTAATTTTTAAAAATTATTTGCCAATATTTGTGGCAGGAAGACTTAAATAAAGTTTCAATTTAATCTTACTACGAAGAATAATTATACAAAATACTATGATAAGTATACTTAAAATATTGTACAGCACACAAACACCTGTGGAGCACGATTGTGCTGTACGGAACATTTTTATTTGAACTTATTAACTTTATTTGAACTAATTAACCTGTTTTAATTCAACAATTTGAATAGCGGTAGACGCAGTAGAAAATCCTCAACCTCCGAATTGTATTCATAATAACGCAGATTATCAATATCAAGGAACTCAATGGATAAGCTCAAGAGGACTTCCGTGTATACCATGGATAGCAGAAGAGGTTTAATCTTTTTTCCATAACATATATCCTTACCTATAACATATTTTTCTTAAGCATAAGATATCCTAACACGAATATCCTAACAGTTGGAAAATTTATGTTTTTTTGTTAAAAAATATGCCGGTTACAAATTTTGTGTTAAATATTTAATACTTTTATGTGTTAATTTAACATATTGCTGTTGTGTTTATTGAACTCAAATATTAAATTATCAAAACTATTAAAACAAGATGAAAATTGTGCAAATTAGAAACTTGCACATTGCTTCCTCATCATTTTATTTCACTCACAAAGCTTAAGCTCTTTAAAGCAAGCAAGTTTTTCAATTTTGGCTTTCTCATAAAGGAAGATATCTCAAAATTTATGAAAGTTAGAGCAACCACGTCCTTTTGGTGGACATACACACATACGGACATTTAAAAAAAATGTAATTTTTCGACCTTTTAGAACTTTCTGAACACATCGGCATCAAAATCTAAAAAAAAAAAATTTCACGGAAACGAAGCTTCCTCTATGAGAAAAATTCCTCTTCATTTTAAATTACTATAAAGTTTGCATTCATTTTGTGTTGAAATATTAACATAATATTAGCGTCACTATTTAACATATCCATATTACGTTAAATTAACATAAAAATTTGTGTTAACCGTTTAAGACATTACGTAAAATCAAAGATAAAGATATGCGCGCGCGCCCACACACACGCGCGCGCGCGCGCGCTTGCTCGCACGCACGCACGCAAAGCACACAACATTTACGAATATACGTGCATATGTACCCATTACACATAAAAAAATGCATCAGGTTATCTGAAAAAGATATGGCAAATACTCAGATTCTATGACTTCAGAGCTCCATATTTCTTTACTCTTTTCGATTTCTTTACTTTACTCGATTTTACGTGCTTGTGACAGTGGAGATATTTGTTCAGAATTATAAAAACTACAACATATTTCAGAACGGAGCAATTTGACCGGGGTCATTTTTCCATAAGAAACGGGCGGGGTTCTGTTTGTATTAATTTAAAATAATATGGATATGTTAAATGATCGCACAATACTATGCTAATATTTCAACACAAAATGAATGCAAACTTCATTGTAATTTGAAATAAATATTGTGTAAAATCAACATATTTTTAATGATAAAGTTAACTTGGAAAAAAGTTATTGACGGTCTGTAGTCATTCTCACTCCTACTGTAAAATAGAATTAACATTTTTTAAAGATCGTCATTCTAACGTCACTTTTACGTCGTTTCAAAAGTGAATTTGACGTAACCAGTGACTAAAAAATGACGTTATAATGACGACACCTTGCTATCTGGGCTATTGTGTAAAATTAAAAATATGTGCACATTGTGTTATTTTTACACTTTTTTCAGTTTTAATAATTTAACATTTGAGTTCCATTAACACAACAGCAATGTATTAAATATTTAACATAAAAATTTTAAGCGACATGTTTTTTAAAATACAAATTTTTGAATAGTGTACTACTGCAAGATTTATCCCTTCGTCTATAATCATTGCATTCAAGTGATTTTCTGATATTAATAGTAGAGAAGATTATCTATCTTTTTCTCTATAAAAGATCATTTATGTTTATTAGGTACCGCGCGATGAGAAAATAATCGATAATTTTGTCGATAAATCTATAGTAAAAGCTTTAAATAAATGTAGAAATCCAAGTCATGATCCTAGTGGACCTTATTGCTACGCGGTTTCAAACTCGCACGCTATTGATGTTATAAAACGAGTTTGTCATGTACGGATTTGTAGATCTTCAGGTATTTATTTAATTCTGACAGTATTAATATATTTGCTTATTTAACACTATGCGCAACGATTTCTTCTCATTGTCTTTTGACTAGAAATAAAAAACTAAGAAAACGATCTGCTCTGTCTCTCTATCGTAAAATATAAAATTTTTTATTACAAATATTTAATTAATTTATAAAGTTTTGATTTATTTTTGTATATTTAATATTATGAATTTTTTTAATTATTCTGAAGTAGATAACTTTGCTAACATACTACAACTATTCTTCTTCTTCCATTTATTCATTATATATAGTTTAATTGAATTTTAAATAAATTAAATAATGGCGTATTCTGTAGAATGTCGAATGGCAGGAACTGCTAATGATTACATAGGCACGCTATCAAAGACTCGTTCAGGTCGAACTTGCACAAAGTGGTTGAGCGATTACGATCTCGAGAGAATGCAAATGCAAACACCGAACACGTCATTGACAACGAGAATTCCTTCTAAGACTCAGAGATCAATTAATGTAAAATCTCGTTGGAAACGTTATTTTAAGCAAAATGCTTCAATGAAACGGTCGTCATCATTCACAAAACCATTATTCGATTCATCGCCAAATCTGCCATCGCAATCAAGATTTACTGCTGTCAAACCTATCCATATGGTTGATCGAGCATATTTAAATGATAGTATTTATCCGGAACGGAACGTACGAAATGCCAGCAATTATTGTAGAAATCCATCTCGCAATATTGCTGGCACATGGTGCTACACGACAGATCCATTGGTTCCACAAGACCTTTGTGATATAAGGGATTGCGAGAAGCTAGGTAAAGCTTGAACTGTTGCACAGAATAAAACCATCTAGATTGGAAATGGAGAAATATTTTTTTTTCAACAATAGCTGTAACAGATATCTTCTTAGAAATAAATCTTCCTAAAATTGATAAAAAGATAAATATTCACATTAGGTCAGCCTCTTCAAAAGTCAATGACCTTGACATATGTTGTCAGGGCATAACCCTGAGTAACATCCAAGAGGTTTTAGCCGTCGTTAGTTGTTTATTAAAAAGTTATTAACAATTAAATTGTACGATAAAAACAAATATTAAATGCGATAATCTGAATTTCTCCGAGCATGGTAAATATTGACAAAAGGGGACCTAGCCCCAATGACCTTGACCTTGACATATGTTGTCAAGGACATGCTCCTGAGTAACTTTCAAAAAGTTTTCAAAACCCGTCGCTCGTTGTTTATTAAAAAGTTATTAACAAAATAAGTTTAACGAATCGAGCGTAATTTTCTGACATTAATATTAAGAAATATACACATACGCACAATATATATGGCATGTGTGTGTATTATGAAGTAAAAAGGTGGGCGGACGATGTTTCTTAAATGTACATGGTGTCAAAAAATTTGCTTTGTAAAGTATATGCGTGGATACAGTGAGCTCCGCTCCCCCCCTCCTCCCCCATGAGGAGGCTCCACTTCCGGAAGATATAACCTAACCCAAATCTATTTTTAATTTAATTTGTTTTATCTTTTTATTTTTAACTTTATTTTGTTAACTTTATTATTCGTTAACAAAACGTTAACTTTAACACCTTGGACATGGGTTGGGTTAGGTTAGTTTTTTTCGGGGAGGGAGTGCAGGGGAAAAGGCGGAGCCCCTCCCCCGCCTAGGTGTTCGATTTATTACACATAAATAAATGATTCTGCTAAGATACGCTCTATTAAATGTACATAGTGTCAGAAAAATTACGTTTTATTTAGTAAACTTTTTTTATTAATAACTTTTCAATGAACAACGAGCGACGGCTAAAACCTTTCGAGAGTTACTCAGAGCGATGACCTTGACAACATATGTCAAGGTCAAAGTCATTGGGGCTGGGTCCCCTTTTGTCAATATTTACCTTTTAACTATTGTATATTCGCTTGAAGAGTTGTCTTTTTTCTCTTTTTCCATTTTTTTTAAATATTGAATTTATAGAATGATCATTCTATTATTGCCATAGAGGAGTGTACATTTTTTGTAAAAGGACATGGCATTGGGCGTCGTTTATACATTTTGCCGGAATATCGTACAGAAGGCTTGCATTTTTCATTAAAAGCTTGGGAGCCTGATCAACCAGATTCCATAACGTTCGTGTTTACTGCTGATGATGGATTAAACTCCCGTTACATCCTCAAGATCGGAGCTTTAGATAACGAAAAAGTACTTCTCTATTACCAATCGGAAGACAAAGGTAATTTACATCATATTATGGTAGAAGGAATCTTTTACCATTAATCTTCTTTTAAACTTTTAACAATATATTAGATATAATTTTGGTGAAGAAAAAAACATTACCGCATTTGTTATACCTCGGTAAGTGGAGTAGTTTTATTATACGCATACCTCGAGGACGTGTGCTCGTTTATTACGAAGGAGCAGCGAATCCGCTGTTCGAATGGGAACATTTCGAACCGGCGAAAGTTTTCTCACCTGTCTATTATTATTATAATAGCGAGAAAGGGCACACGATAGGCGTTGCTTTCGATTGCACCTCAAGTATGTTTTGTTGTCTAAAATTAATACTTGCAATATTTTTTCTCAAAATCTTTGATGCAATCTTTCTACAACGCATACATAGGATGTCATATAGAGAACACGCAAACCGATCGCTACACTAGAATATTACCATTATCGACATGGTCTAAGGAAGAGCTGGTCAGACCTAATAAATTGATGCTGATGATACGTGCCAAAGGTGTCGTTTTGATACCGCTACTTCTGTTGCCTGCAACGCCAGGGTAATCATATATGGAAACAATTATTTTGCAAATTCTCCATTTTCATCATTTATACCTGCCAATTATACCTTACAGATTTTACGCACTCACTCTCGGCGAAAGGGATCGGTGGATATATTTTCTGAGAAACACATATCCCAGAATTAGAGTTTATCACAAACAGAAAGCACCCAAGCCTATATTTACCACGAATTCCTGGACTAATATTACCATAAAGTAATTCAGCTAAAACGCAAATATATTTCGTTGAATGCAATCTAGTTTAATTTACTTACGATTTCTTATCACTTTTTCTGAAAGATGGTCTGATAGTATAATTCAAGTATTCTGCAACGAGACAAATGTGTTTCATTATGTACACCGTCAACCGCTCATCTTTTATTTTTTTTCGCTCGCTGTAGATCCGGGAAGTTGGGCCACTTGGAGCGCGAATTGTATGCCATCAGGTATAATTATGTAAAAATATAAGAAAAGGTTTGCAAATCTTGAAAATAAAATTACAAAGAAACAATTTTTGTATATTTTTTCATACATTTAAATATTCGTTTTTATAAACAAAACACACAAAAATAATAATAATTATCATTTATTCAATATTTCATATTGCTAGCAAAATTTATTATTGTGTCTTAGTAATTATAAATATTGAAATTTTGTTTTTAGATAAATAATAAAAAGAGAATAGAACAATTTTTTCGGTTTATTTTGTCTTTTTTTTGTAATCAACGATATGTATATAATTATATGTATAAACAGCTTTAAAGAAATATTATTTATAAATTTTAAAAATGTTATATGAATCATATGTCTTTGAAGACATGATTGTAGAACATTTATTTTGTGTATCGCGTGCATATAGTTTAATCATTTAATCGCACGCAGATATAGATGGTCCTCCTTTAGACGGTGGATGGTCGGAATGGGGACCATGGGTATGCAGTGCTAGTTGCAATGGTGGCATAGGGACTAGAAAACGATATTGCAATTCACCGGAACCTAACGTAAGAGGCGAGCCTTGTATAGGGCCTAATAGCATGACGGGTCGTTGCAATATGATTTCTTGTGGTGATGTAACCGATGGTATGCTGAAACTGATACTTTATTTGTCTAATATTCTTTTTCTTATTTTTTTTAAATAAATTGATAAGATACATTTTGCGTTACTCTCTCACAAACGTATTTTTCTCAAGAATTCTGAGATATTACTCTCACGTCACTAATTGCTAATTCTAAGTAATTTTTTGCCAGGCAAGTAAAAGAGAATATATTTTTGTTATATTGCCTCTATTTTTCCTGGAGATCGCAAGTGATTTAAAAATTTATTATAATAACTTTTATCTCAATTGTAGATACTGCGACTTTGATAAAAAGAGAAATTACGCAAAATCATACTGCTCTTACTGTGAAGGAATATGAATCGGTATCGCTTCCCTCGGATTCTAATATCGTGAATTCCATCAGAACCGAATCACCTGATTCAGAAATACAGTGGTCTCACAATGGAATTTTTGTTCAAGACGAACAGCACAGATTAGAAATTAAAAATTACGAAATCAGTACGTAATATCAATATATAATATTTGATAACTAATTTTAATATGCTTAATATAAATAACAATTTTTTTATATATTAACAAACGTGAATTCTTAAAATTTTTCTAGTAATAAGTAGAGCAATATTGAATGATTCGGGCGTATATACACTTACTGTGCATCGAATAGATGGGACATACATGATATTTAAAGTCGTAACTTTGGCAGTGATTCCAATTAAGGAAAGCGTTACAATTCGCGAAACTCTGCCCATGCATGTAATGTGCCATTGTGCTATCCTTGGCTATGTATATTCTGACCTGAAGATCTATTGGATGATTGATAACAGAGTATGGAAAGATTATAGTGTCACGTTGCCCGTAGCTGTAAATGTCGATCGTATTCTGGCTGTAAATAGATCTCATCACGGTACATGGAAGTGTATTGTGGAACAAATTGATCTAAATTTCAAGTGGACGACAAATGTGATCCGTGTCAAAGGTAGTACAAACACTTTTTTAAAACCACGGTAATAGTGACATTAAAATATATTTGTTAGATCAGATATAATAGAAATGATATTTTTGTTCAAAACGTTTTTCTATAAAATGCTTAGCTTTTGAAAGAAAAGGGGTGTACGGGTGGTCTAGGACACCCTGTATATCATCGCGCTGCAACATCTAAGAGCCGAGCAGTAAAGAACATGCGTAAACTCGAAAAAAAATACGTTGTTGACGCTCTATATTCTAATTTAACGTAAAAAACACAACCGATTTTGATGAAATCTTCATCAGTACGTTTCTAGACATCTCAGGAGTTTTTAAAGATATGATTATAATTGACCCATATTTGACCATCCTCACAAATCCGCAATCATATACCAAGCGCGCGAAGCGCGCAAGGAAAAAACGTCTGCTAGTATTATATTGGGTGGGCCAAAAGTCTGGATACAGTCGAATATCTCGTAAACAATGTAATTTTGAAAAGAAAGTTTCAGACAAAAGTTGTAAGGTTTACAAAGACGTATTGAACGATAATTATCTATTTAATCTTTGGTGGCGTTACGAAGGTCAAGTCAAGATCAACTTAATTTTTTTAAGTGAAATTCTCTATTTTTCATTGGATATTCTTGTAGCTAAAATATCTCGTAAAATATTTAGTTTTTGATAATCTTACCGTAATATTTTTATGCACAGAATAATGAGACAAATCAATTGATATAATATATATATGTGTGTGTATACTGAACTCTATTGTGAGCATAATGGTTGCTTCCAAAAGTTATCTGTGTTAACGAACGGAGAGATATGCATAACTTTTTTATAATAATGTGAATATTTTGATATGATAAAGTTGTAGCACTGTTTGAAACGAATACAACGATGTATGATATAATGTAAATATTTTATATACATATTATACGTGTTTTATCAACTTGAAATATCGCGGGCGATGTCTACCTTTTCATTTTCGGCCTTACGATATGGCCAACTTTGAATTGAGTATTATGATCAAATGACAACGTGACATGTGTTAATCTCTAATACACGAGTCAGAAGTTTGCCATAACGCAGGGCAGAAAGTGAAAAGATAGACGTCGCCTGCGATATTTCAAGTCGATAAAACTCGTATAACATGTAAAATATTTACATTATACATCGTTGTATTCGTTTCAAACAATGCTACAACTTTTATCATATCGAAATATTCACATCATTATAAAAAAATTATGCATATCTCTCCGTTTGTTAACACAGATAGCTTTTGGAAATAACTATTATGTTCACAATAGAGTTCAGTTTGAACCATTTAATTTGATATATATTTTTTATGGTCTATCTTTTTTAGTTTAAAAGATAAAAGGGGATGGCTACTTTTGGTGGACACTTCGCAACAAAATTAAGGGATCATTTAAAATCAGTGTTGAAAAGGATCAAATTTAAATTTACGTATCTTTGCGAAAAATGGTCGTAGAACGATATTTAAAAAAGCATTTTAAAGCTTGAAACCTCAACTTTCCAATGGTTTAACGGAAACTTCTCTAAAAATATTTTGCTACAAGCGACGCTGTTTTAAAGCGAGCATTGCAAAATTGTACAAAAAACTTCAACTTTGATGGTGTTACGTCCAGACTTGAAGAAAGATGAGTCAATGGAAGGGCGCACAACTATTCTAATTATCCCGAAATCAGACGCCTTACGGCCTAAGAATCGGGTCGAACGAACTCTTAGGTCTGAAAGCCAGGTAAACGACCGTTCGGGTCGCTATTACACTGTTTATTCAGACGTTCGCTCGGTAGTCCCTTCGGTCAGGGAATTTAATCCCTTTTACGCTGGATGGGACCTTGTGCAATCTTTTCACCGGGACTGAGAGAGAGATCAAGAAATAGTTAATTATTTGAGTAAAAGTATAACTCTATTTATTAGAAAGAATGCAAGTTCGAATACATGTTACATATTTGTAGAAGGTGATAACATTAATCGTGTGAGTGTATGTGTTTGTGTGTGGTTGAGCTTATCGCTCCGCGGGTGTTACATAGGTTCGGGTTTGGTCACTTACTTGTCGGACACCCTGTATATATACAGGGTGTCCGATAATTTTTGACACACCCGACGTGTGAAGGTAAATGGGGTCAAACTGAAAAGAAAAGTCCGTACATAGGTTCGGGGGACATCAGCCAGACTGATTTGGGGAAAGGCTCTATCGTTAAGATTAAAACTCTGGCTGGTAAATACAATATCTTTGATTATCTTTCAGAAAAATATAAAAACAAAGTGTAAAAGTAGGTCAGTGTGGAAATGGGTTATTGAATAAGTAAACACACAAAGAGGTCTTTAAATTATGCTGTTAATCTTATTCTTAATACTCTCTAACTTAACGATAAGAATTGAATTCGCGGACGCGCGAGTCAACGTCTTCCGAGTCCTACGATTGACCTGATTTACGCAGCTGGGTCTATATATATATATATAATTTGCCTAATCTGTAAAAGGTATGTTAATATACAGAGCGTGCAGCTCACCAGGAAATTACGTCCAGGAAAAGGATAACGTCAGAATGTTTTAGTTGAGTAATACTAGTTTAATTGCACATCTGATGATATTACAAAATAATCGGTTGTGAAAACCGATCCAACAACATAAAACTAAACGTTTTCGACTGCAGCGACACATAAGCAGGCAAGTAAGAGAGCGCGCGACTCGAGAGACTCTAAACAGAGTTACCAACTTAACATAATTTGTTTCAGTATAAATTACTATACTTATCAATCTGGTTCTCCCTATGGAAACAGTATTAATAGGATCTCTATCGTATACGAAATAAGTAAAAATAAATAATTGCTGCTTACTTTTTGCTGTTGTCTCGGAAGAGGTTGCAAATTTTCAACGCCCTGGATCTCGTGGTACAGTCGGACCTCTGGATGACGAGTGCAGACGGTAGTGATGACTTAGTCGCGCACTATGCTCTCGAATAAAATGTCTTTGGCAAAACTGTTCGACTAAAACTGGCTGATTGCCTGGTTGGCAGAAGCTGTATAATAACTGGATAACTTCGACTAACTGTCGAAAACTGGATGGAAAACTGAACGTGCGGGTCTCGCGAGCTCCCTTTTTATAGTTTGTCGATAGATCTAGGATTGAATTATTTTCCGGCGGGCTTCGCGCACGTGATTCTGGGATGGATAGCAAAGTCTTATTTTCTATGATTTTAATCGAAGCGGCGGCGGTTGTTTTTATCAGATATTTCGTAAGATGTTTTGATCGTCTTTTAGCTGTTTCATTGTTCTTTCACTGGAAAATTTTATTGTATGAGACATCTAGTGTATGAGACATCTGTTTTTTATTTACTTAGAGAAGATCGGCGTAGTTCTTCTTGTTTTTTTCGCAGTTACTCATGGATATATTTACTGATAATTGACGAAATATTTAAAGAGTTGTGGTGCAAGACGTTCTATTTACCGAGAGACTTATTTTTATTGCCAATCGACGATCCTTGCCGCAATTTCGCGGAAGGAAGGAATCGTGGAGTCGGCAGGAAGTAACAATGGCATGCACAGGGAAAACAAAATTTTTTTCTACCAACTTTATTTATCGTATTTTAAAATTAAACATTTTCTTTTTAAAATGCATTTTTAATCATTGCGCTACGATTTTTTTTTACTGAGTTATGATGATTTGAAATAAATAGTGCATTTTGAGTGCTTTTTTTCTGCAAAAAGCACTGTATTCTATCGCCGGTATTGACATTATCTAAGATGTACCCACGAGGAGATTACACGGTCGGATTTACACCTCATGTGAGTATGTGTGCGCGCGTGTGTATGTGTACATATATGCGTATTTCGGCAGAAATTTCTTTTTTCCGTCGCATAGAACTTGTGATCCTACCACCGCCAGAGATTAATTCTGCGCGTTATGTTTACGAAGTTCTTCGACCCCATGTCTTTGCGAAACAATATGGGAGAAAACTTTATTCTCTCTCTCTCTTTTTCAATTTATTGGCCTCTTGTGATCAAGGGTGGATCACAAATTCTGGCCATCAACAGGTTATATATAGTGAGTATCAGTGAGTATAAGTTTCTGGGAGAAATTATTTTATAGGATAATACGAAACCTCTTTTTGAGGCATATGGGGAAGTGGAAGGATAGAGTTTGATAGGATAATTTGCGGAAAAACCTTTTTTGAGGCATGTGGGAAGGACGGGACCCGAGCGGAGTCGAACCTGGAATCTCTCGATTACCAGGCCGCAACTCTACGCTCGGCGCCACGCGTCGCCCAAACTTTATTCTGATGCAAGATAATGCTCGCGCACATACTGCTCGATACATCGTAGATTTCTTGCAAAGAAACAATATTACTGTGTTGGATCATCCGCCACTAAGTCCAGGGTGCAGAAATCCCGATCGATTCGGATTACATTTTTTAAAATCCGTTTTAATCGACCATTTTCAGCAGGGGATCTAAACCCAATTGAGCACATTTGGGATCTTCTTGACCGTCGATTAAGAGATTTTCCCAATTCATCCCAAAATTTACAGGAATTGGGCGAAACTCTTCAAAAAATTTGGCGTGAAATTCCGCAAGAGCTAATCCAAAGATTTATCAACATGCGGGAACGTTGTGAAAAAGTAATTCGTCGTAGAGATACTAACACACGATTTCAAGACGGGCGTATACACACACACGCACGCATGTACACGCACGCATGTACACGCACGCATCTACACACACACACACACACACCACACACGCGCGCGCGCGCGCACACACGCACATGCACACACGCGCACGCACACTCACGCACGCACACGCACGCCCGCACGCACACACGCACGCACGCACGCACACGCGCACGCACTCACGTACACACGCACGCACGCACGCACACGCGCACACACGCACGCATGTACACACACACGCGCGCGCACGCACGCACACACATGTACACACGCGCTCGCGCACACACACACACAAAGCAGAGAGGGTTTGGAGTTATTAAATACTGAAGGGGGTGACGGACCGTGGGGTCCTTATCTTTGCTCATTCACACACTCATATACACACGCGCGCGCGCGCACACACACACTCACGCACATTCACACATGAGGTGTAAGTCCGACCGTGTAACCTCCTCGTGAGTACATCTTGGGTAATGCCAATACCGGCGGCAGAATACAGCTTTTTGCAGAAAAAAGCACTGAAAATGCACTATTCATTTCAAATCATTATAACTCAGTGAAAAAAAAATTGTAGCGCAATGATTAAAAATGCATTTAAAAAAAAAATGTTTAATTTTAAGATACAATTAATAAAGTTGGTAGAAAAGATTTTTTTTTCCCTGTGTATGCCATCAAAATTGAAGTTCTTTCTACAATTTTGTAATGCTCGCTTTAAAGTAGTGTCGCTTGTAGTAAAATGTTTGTAGAGAAATTTCCGTTAAACCATTGGAAAGTAGAGGTTTCAAGCTTTAAAATGCTCTCTTAAATATCGCTCTAAGACCATTTTTCGCAAAGATACGTGAATTTGAATTTGATTCTTTTCAACACTGATTTTAAGTGATCCTCTAATTTTGTTGCGAAGTGTATATATGTATACAGGGTGTCCCAAAGCACCCTTGACAACGCTCGTGAGCAGATAGAGCACAGTAAATTGAACAGTAAGGCAAAATCGTACTAGTATCGTTACATGTCCGGCTATTGGGACGTTTACCTTAAAGTCCTATAATATTTTTTTCTATAACGCTTACTAAAGGAGTTATTATTGAGTAAAGTCTGACCAATCAGCGCCGACCTTTAGCCGCGCGCCTGACAGTGTGCGTGAGCGCTCCGTCGCTACGGCGGCGCACACTACCATGCGGGCGGCTCACCAACGTGCGTCCGGCTAAAAGTCGGCGCTGATTGGCCAGACTTTACTCAATAATAACTTCTTTATTAAGCGTTATAGAAAAAAATGATACAGGACTTTTCTGTTCAGTTTACTGTGCTCTACCTGCTCACGAGCGTTGTCAAGGGTGCTTTGGGACACCCTGTATTTATATACATTGTATACAGGATATCTCTAAAGTCTGACTCCACCCCTGGATTTCGGAAACGGCTTTAAATATGGAAAAATGTTTCAGACAAAAGTTGCATGGTTTGAAGGCGGCCACATGATGAAAATATGAACTTGACCTTAAGTGACCTTTTCAAGGACAGGTCAATGTGATTAATAATTGTTAAAAAAAATACATTGTAAATAAGTACATACTTTTTTTTTTAAATAATTATTTTGTTTATACTAATTTTTTGCACCCATTGCAATACTTCCCACTTTCTAGGATACACCCTGTATATGCAGGGTGTCCCAGATCATTTGGGACAATACTCGTGTGCAGATAAAGCGGACCAAACTGAATCGAAAAGTCCTCTATCATTTTTTTTATAACGCTTAATAAAGGAGTTATTATTGAGTTAAGTCTGGTCAATCAGCGCCAACCTTTAGCCGGGCGCACGTAGATGAGCCGCGCGCCTGGTAGTATGTGGCAGCGCACACTTCGGCGCGCGGTTCACCGACGTATAAAAAAAAATGGTAGAGGACTTTACGATTCAGTTTGGTCCGCTCTATCTGCACACGAGTATTGTCCCAAATTATATGCTTCCCTGCAGGGTTATGGCCTTTCAAAGCTAAAGAAAAATAAAAGTTTTTTGGCATATCTTTAAAACAACTTGACTTATATCGTTCATATTCTGATGCCAGAATGGATACGCTGTATGTATAAAGTGTTCAGTAATATTTGCTTGTTGATATATTTGATATATGCGTGGTGATATTATTTTACAAAAATTTAGATAGTGTTTTCAACAAAAATGTAAAGATACGAATTTAACAAATTAAAAAAAGAGTAGATACAAGAGTCACTCAAAAAAGTGGTATTGCAACTACAGCAAAAATTTTCTGGGTGCGCAAAATTAACTGAGGTACATAAATGATTAGCAAATACTGTGATATCGCATATGTTTCGCATTTAATCAATCTAAGTGACAGAGACAGAATTTATATCTGAACTGTTTGTGAAATTTAGAAAGAATGTTTTTCTGTGGCGCCTATCCATGTTAAGGCCAATCATACTTGTTATAAAGTTTGGCTATGGTACACAGAAAAAATTAGCGGCAAGAAACAAATAAATATATAATCCTCACATCTAACATATTTGTATAACGCGCCCAATCTATCTAGCTCTTTTAAACAATTTCTCTCAATTTTTCGATGCTGCAGTTATAATTGGCAGTTATATTTCTCACAAAGAGTGTTCTAGCTGTAGTATCGAAACTCATATTTATCCAATGCAGTGATTAACATTTGGCAATGGGACCTAAATTTTCTAGAAGATATTATTAGAATATTGCTGCTATAAATTCTATATGTAACAGACAATATTCTAACAAATACAAAAAATAGCGATAAATTTTTGTTGTGACACCTAGAAATCTACCTATATCAGCAAGACATTTTTTTGAGTGGTATTATACAAATGATACTTTAAAAATATAAATAAAAAATAAAATTTTTTGCTTTAACTACTTTTGTTTTAATTTTATTTCAAATATTAAACAATGTATAAAAAAGATATCATGTAAAAAACAATTTAATCAGAGAAAAATAATTTTAGCTCGTTGACCATGTCGTTTTTCTCAAATGCATCTATTTTTATATTGAACATTTTACATTATGTAGTATGAGAAATGTTATTTTTATAATATAAAACGCACAAGTTCTCGGCCCTCCAAACTGGCGTACTCATTTGATGGAGGATAAGTTAACACGACCGATATTTGGATGGATGCCGAGTGAGGAATTCGTTGCTTACTCGGTGTTGGCCATTATTTTATTCTTGGTATGCTGCATTATTATAGGTTCCATTCTTTATATCAGGTAATGTGTAATTATATGTATATAATTGTAATTACACAAGACGTTGAAAAAAGGATTCAGAACTTTAAGAGCAGTACTTACGAAATGGAGGAAAAAAGTTTTAATAAACATGGGTCGAAAAATAAACATTGTCGGAGTCATGAAGAATTCTTCAATAATGGATTATCTTATCATTTCTTCATCCAAAAGAAGAATGTGTTCTTCCAAAAGAAGAAAAAAGAAGAATTCTTCAAATTTTAAAGTTTACAGAAGGTTTCCTACATGTCCTCCTTCTATTTCTACACATGCTTCATATCTTCGTACCAGAGAATTGCGAACTCTTTCAAAAATTCCCTGCTTTGTTCTAACTATTTGATAGGTATTTTGTATTCTCTAATGTAATTCGTCATAATTTCTTTTTATGCCATGCGAGAGATATAGAAGCGAGCAAGTTACTTGTTTTAACCAAAATGAAGAATTGTTCATTACTCCGACAATATTAATTTTTTGACTCATGTTTATTAGAATTTTTTTCCACCGTTTTGTAAGTACTATCTGCTCTTAAAATCCTGAACCCCCTTTTTTAACATCTTGTATATGTTTGTGCATGTGCAAAATTTATATAATGTATGTATATATATATATATATATACATACATGCATAATAATATATATTTGTTTATATTTATATATTGGCAGTGTATCATCCTATAATAAAAAAATTGATTTTTTTTTTACAAAATTGATTTTACAAATGCGCAAAACTAATAAGATATCTATATATATGAAATAATGGCATGCTATATTATCTATCGTAAGGTTTCAAGAAAGTTGGAAAGTTAACGTGACTATGGCAAAGAAGAAGATGCGCACAGGGAAATCTGCAACAGAAAAGAGAAAATATATATCTGATGATATATTTGTAAAAACGGAAAACGAAAATACAACGTCTAATTTTGTTAAATCTAAAAAATTGCGTGGAACATATAATGAACAACAATCTCGGGCAAAAAAACTAGAAAACGTAAATCACGTCAAAATGCCGAGACCTAATCAAACAAAGTCTAAGAAAATAATTAATAGATTTCGTAAGTTGTTGAAGGAGAAAAAATTAGCATTCTTATTATAAAGACCTATTGACAAAAATATTATATCTATTATAAATATTATATCTGTTATATCTTTAATAATCATATTATTAAACAGTTTTTTATTATCTATTGTATGTCAAATTACAGATTGGAGGGAAAAAAATAAATCTATTGGCGATGAAAAGTCAGAAAGAGTGAATCTAATCACGAAAAGCGATACTGATAATTGAGTATGATATTAATTTACGATAAATATAAAAATAAAATATATCCAACATCTGAGAAGTATAGATACACTTTTTATACTTCTATAGAAGTTAAAAATTATTTAGATTTATGATATCGACTGACAATTTCCTGACAGATGCGCGTATTCGAGTTGTTCACGGTTCTGGTTGAAACGGATGAACGAAAGGGACGACGCACGGCAAACACTAGTGCGAATCAAACGAGATGAAGGAAGGGTGAATGAGAGAAAAAGAAACTCCCTTCACCACTCCTCCCTCTTCTCTCAAGAAAGAGAGCACGAGGGTCCACTCTGTGCCCCGAGGGCAAAAAGGATTCGCTTTGCAGAGAGCAGAAGCGATCGAAGAGGAGTGAGGCTGCCAGCAGATCGGTAGGACAGGCCCGAGGGAAACGCAACGAAAATAGAGAAAAAGATATGATGACGGCTATTTGCTGGAAACAGTAGGAAGAACAAGAGCACAGAGAAGAGAGCTGAGAAGATAGAGAGAGAGAAGAGAGAGAAAGATGCAACGCGAGAAAGCGCGAGAAGGACCGAGAGAGAAAACAGAGAGCGACAGGTGCGCAAACGCCCACGTGGAGCTCACTTCTTTAAAGCATCATCGCGGACGGTGGAAGAACGAAGCAGAAGCAGAAACAGAAGAAGATGACGACGACGATGATGACGATGACGACGAGGACGACGAAGAGGACGAGGAAGATGACCGACCGGCTTCCTTGAGCCGGTTGAACAGACCGACACTCGCTCTACACCCAAGTTGCACTCATACCGAGTGCATGTGGTGGGGTAAAGATCACACTGGCGTAGGGTCTGTTTTCCGTCGATATAAATCATACTTCCTTTCATGATTATACACGCGCGGATGTTTACAAATATATTTGTTATTTTTGATTAAATGAAACCAAAGAGAGTTACGAGGTAGGAGTAATGAAGTTTCAAGTATCTCGCGCCGAATACACTGAAGACGCGCGCTGACCGGCTTCTTGTCTTCATTCTCGCAACTGCACCGAGATCTTTCGCATTTCATTCAGTCGAAGATGTTAGCAGTAACTCGAGTGTATCACAGCAGACGCGGTCCAATCAAGAATGGAGAAACCCAGTCGAAGCCAGTCAAATACCCCTAAGGCTATTCCTCGACTACGCCGATGAAAAAGGCCACGACAAGGGCCGATGAGTGGGAAAAGGTGGTTTCAAGAGGGGGAAGGGCTAACCATTCGGTAGCAAATGCTGGTAACCCGTCGCAAGGTCAAGATCAGTCGGTTAATCCCGTCCAGTCGACCGAGGGCCTTGCACCTTGCACGACGAACGATCTCTCCACTTGTTCGCACTCTTGTATATATACGTTTACGTGTAATTTTGCACCCGGTATACGCCGCAAGACGTATTAACGCGCAATTAACAATCGACGACACGGCTCTTGGAAATTAACTGGATCGGGACTCTGGAGAACATTCGGGTACTGAAGTTCTAAATGTCAATTTTAAAGTTGTAAATGTGCCGGAGACTTTTTTATTAGCAATGGACTTGTTCGACACACCATGCACTAAAAGAATCTAATGTTTCGTAAAAACAACATAGTATAAATGTATCTTGTTCTTTTTCCGCTGAGAAATATCCTTTTAGCGATTTGTTAACGCAAGCACACACGAATGTACATAAAATAATTATTCACAAAGTGGAGATATTGCTGTGGTGGATTCCCAAAATATACTCTTCACGCGGGTCTCTGTTATGGAAACTTGCGTCTTAATACCTAAAGAATTCTCTCTGGTCCTCACAAACGATCAGTCATCGTGTAAGAATCTCTTCAAAAATGACTCGGCTACATTGGTCACAGATGTAAGAATTTCGGTATGGTCGAATGTGTTTATCCCATCGGGAACTTTGATTTACCCGTTTCAAGGATCAATCAGATTCGACAAGATTGATCTTTACTCTCTCCTCGATGACAATGACGTAAGTATATAACTACATTTATAATTATTTTTATTCTATCTTTATTCAATATGTTAAGGTTGCATGTGTCATATGTCAAAACATTGACAAAAGCATAAAAATTTCGTAGGCTGTTTTTCTGAGTATCTGTACAAAACTTCAGCAAAATTCTTGTAACGGTTTGGAAATTATTTTAGTTTAAAATTTGTATTGATTTTTATGGAAAATTGTGAATTGTAGCATTTATTGATAAATTTGACAAGAAAAAAACATTGCCAGCGAAATGAAAATTTTCACATGTATTAACAGAACTCTAATAAATATTTGTGCAAAAACAAATTGATTGACAATGAGATTCACTTACTTGTTTAAAAGTTATTTACTAAAAATTGTAGTAAAATATTTATAATAATTTGAAACCTTCCTGTAAATTACTCGATTTTTTTGTTTCTTGCAATTAATTTCAGGGGTAATCACGACCAAAAGTTTTTATCATAAATTAAAAAAAATATTGATTACAACTATTTTCTTTTATGAAGATGTTAAAAACAATATTATTTTATAATACTTTAATTCTTTTTTTAATCCAGATTTATTTATTTGTCTTTCCAAACAGTATAAACGTAAGAAATGGTTTTTTTTTTAATTTTAACACTTTTTTGCTACTATTGTACAGCCAAAACATCCTTAATATAACATTACTTATGTGCATAGATAAAATAAATAAATTAAATCAAATTAATAAATAATAATGATAATTTGCATTTTTGGACAACAATGATCGAATAGTATATGTAAACAATATAATGTGTCAAAGAAATGAAAAATTTATACACATGCCAATGTATTAATTTTTATAATTTTGTATTTGCTTATAATTCTATTTGTGAAAATGATAGCTATTGTACAAATAGATTTACCCGTACCTGAATGATTACAGTTTTACAAGAGTTTATATATAAGAGCTTATTTACACTTGTTTACAAAAGCAATACTTTTTACACGCATTAATATCACCGATTTTATTTTATATAATTAATGCGTAAATACACACACACCCACACACAATGCGAATTTTTCATTAAATATCAGCTTTAAATTATTTTGTGTAACACATTTGGCCGTATAAGAATCTAAATAATTTTTAAAATATTATTGATATAAATATTTTATAAAATATCATGTGAAAAAACTAATATTATTTTATTTTTATTTAAAATAGATTTCTCAGAGTAATTATGTGTTATGTATGAGGCGAAATTTCATTGCTTCATACGTATCTTATTTATTACACTTTTATTTATTCTATCAAGTATCAGAGAAACATTATAGTTATGGAAATATTATGCGCCATTTTGTCGGCGCGAGAATAATGAAGAAGATGTTTTATTGCTCGATAAAAAAATGAATCGTCATTTTTTACATTTATCAGCTGTCAAAGTTATCGAAAAAGAATTCGACATAAATATATGCATCATTCTGTATCTCTTGATACAGCCATACTCACGATCGCCATTCATTAAAGCGATGCGGTTTTAGATCAGACGCGAATACGGCTGTTACGACGAAGTCTTCTTCTCCAACTACAATCTTAACAAGCGTCAGTGCAATTGGATAAGGTTTCTTTGTATCGTTCAGTCGTATAATGAGCAAGTTAATCTGATCGGTACAAAGGTGAAGGGAAAAAAAAAAAAAAAAAAAAAACGGTATTTCGCGTACTAAGCTTTTTAAATCTGAAACTTTAATATAATTGCTAATTAAATATTAATATAATTTTACATATAAAATGCAAAAAAAGGAATGAGTTGAAGCAGAGATTAATCAAATATCATGTAATACAAATTATTAATTAAATAGTATATAACTGAGGAAAAATTTGTACTGGAATTTCTTTTTTCTTCAAAATATATCTCTTTTAGTTCTCTCTTAAAATATTTTTTGAACATTGTTTTCTCTCCATTTTAAAAATCTTTATTGTTGCTCTCTCTCTCTCTCTCTTTCTTTCTTTCTTTCTTTTTCTTTCTCTCAATGAATATATATATATAATGATTTTTAAAAATTTAAAAGACAATTCACACAAGTGCTTATAAGAGAATGTTTATAAAATAACGTTTCTATTCGAGGATTAAGCGGGACGAGAAAATTTTTTATAGTCCGATGATGTAAAGAAGAAATATTTCTCGTTTCGATACTTTGCAGCTCTAGTACTTTCGTATCCTTTTTTGTTCTCAGGTGAACCTATATTTGAAGTAATAAAGGATGTTCAACCGGACACAGAACTAGTGGCTTGGTTTCTACCAGTAACACAGCAGGATTTCGTTATCATCTCGCACGACATGTGCTCCAGATCGGCTATCTATAGATGTACGATCGACTCTATCTTAGACGGTGAGTGAGAAACGCAACGTATGCGCGATAGATAAACTCATTTACAAATATTATCAATAAACATTAAAATATATGTATATGTGAGAAAAATTATGTATTTGTACATATTTCAAATTAATCTGAAACAAATAATGAATATTGAAACCATCCGTATACATATATTTAGATTTGTCTACTACTACTATACTGTTAGAAAATTCGTGTTTTCTTGTTAAAAAATATGCCAAATAAAATTTTTGTGTTAAATATTTAACACATTTATGTGTTAATTTAATATATTGCTGTTGTGTTTATTGAACTCAGATGTTAAATTATTAAAACAACTAAGAAAAGTGTAAAAATAACATAATGTGCACATATTTTTAATTTTACACAATAGATATGTTCCGTATCATAGTTATCATTAGAGACAGGATTTATCTATTAAAAATCACAGAAAAAAATGTCGATTTTATTTTACAATAGGAGTGAGAGTGACTACAGATCATCAATAACATTTTTGCATGTTATATATATAATTTTATCATTAAAAATATATTGATTTTACACAAAATTTATTTCCAATTACTATGAAGTTCGCATTCATTTTGTGTTGAAATATTAATATAGTATTAGTGTCACCATTTAACATAACCATATTATGTTAAATTAACATAACAATTTATGTAGATCGTTTGGGACATGTAATAGGGGAAAGTAGGGTAAAACCGGGTACTTTTTGGATTTGTCTTCCTACAAAAAATCTGAGAGTAAAAAAAATTTTGCCGACTGTTAGTAGTCTTTAGTGAACCTTAAACTATTAGAAAATAAGGCTAGCTGCTGAAAAAAAAATTTTTGTTTACCAAGAAAAATTTTGTGGAGAAGTCAAAGTACCCGGTTTTATCCTACCGGTAGGGTCAAATCGGGTACCCATTTGAAAATATGCAAAACACCGTGTAATTACAAAATTTAGATTTATTTTAATCGAAATACAATATAAAGATGTATTCTATTAACAAAAATTACAAATAAAAATATCCTCTTGTTCGACATTGCTGCAGGACTTCCTTATTAACTTTAGAAATCTCAAAAAGCTTTTTTTTAGTAGTTTCTTTTTCTGAGCGTTAGTTTTCGTTTTCAACTGCTTTTTGTAGAGACGCAAAGTCAGGATAATAGTTCTTCCTTTTTTCATTATATGAGGTGAGTAAGTACCCGGTTTTGCCCCAACACAAGGAAAGTAACAAATATGGCGGTTATATATTCCGGCGTACAAAGTGCCGATCAAAACTAATATGATATACTCTCTAATATGAACAGAATGCAATGCTGCACTTATAAAGTGCCGATCAAAACTAATATGATATACTCTCTAATATGTACAGAATGCAATGCTGCACTTATCGAAACAGATACTCTATATAGAAAAAGTGCACGACGACTCGATTCTTGCCTCGATATCGATCTTTTTGGGGCTAAAAACTTTGAACTTCTATTAAAAAAGAAATATCAGGTGTGCACAGGAGCACGGTTTGTTTTAAAATAATGATGGCGCCAATCTACAACTAATAACACAAATTAGCCATAGATAGCAGCATTTATTATGAAAAAACAGGGGTACCCGGTTTGACCCGCATACTCGGTTTCACCCAACTTTCCCCTATATGTTAAATTTAAGGATGTATGTATCATATGTCGAAACATTGACTAAAGCGTGAAAATTTCGTAGACTATTCTACTATTTCTTTTGAACATATGTGCAAAATCTGAGCAGAATTATCTTAAGTTTGGAAATTATTTAAGTTTAAAGTTATTATTGATTCTTATGGAAAATCGCGTATTGTAGCACTTATTGGCAAATTTGACAAGGAAAAAACATTGCCAACGAAATAAAAATTTCCACATATATTAAGAAAACTCTAATAAATATTTGTGCAAAATTTGATTTGGATCCACTTACTCGTTTAAAAGTTATTTATTAAAAATTGTAGAAAAATATTATCTGTCTCTTTCTCTCTTTCTACAAATTACTTGGTTTTTTTTGTTTCTTGCAGTTGATTTCAGGAGGTATTCACAATCAAAGTTTTTGTCATAAATTAGGAAAAATATTAATTACAACTATTTTCTTTTATGAAGATGTCGAAAACCATATTATTTTGTGATACTTTAACTTTTTTTATAATCCGGATTTATTTATTTGATTTTTCAAACAGTATAATTGTAAGAAATATGTTTTTTTTTAATTTTGACACTTTTTTGCTATTATTGTACAACTAAAACATCCTTAAGCCAAATTTTCTAACAGTGTATATATGTGAGAGAAATTATATATTTGTATATATTTTAAATTAATTGGGAACAAATAATGAATATTGAAACCATCCGTATATATTCAGATTTGTCTACTACGCTTTCTCTACCGCTTTCTTTCATATAGAAAGAATCCCTCCTATAGTATAAATTAAGCGTTGCTACTGAATTTATCGACTGCATTTAGTTTGTTTGCAATACCCCATCCTGAAAATTCACAAGAAACGCCGCGTTCCGACATTGTAACTATAAGAATCGTCTATATGGCTACTTTGCAGCCATTGTACTGTCCTTTATATCTTCGGCGTGCGCAGCAGAGAAGTCTACGCATTTGAATCGGAAATCGCGAACCCTGTGATCCGTCCGACAAAAATGCCGCCGTCGTATTTGCATTTCAGATCGTTTTCGGCGATCTTGTTGTTCTTTTTCCGATTGCACTACGATTACCGCTAAATGACTGCAACGGTGGTCGCTTTGTGAGGTAATAAAGCGAGATTAACGCGAGAAATTCGACTTTTTTATATTAATATTCGAATAATGATCGTTAGATCGCGGCAAATGAAAATAATTTTACTTTTTTTTTTAATTTTTGTTGACGCTAAAAAACGTATAGATTTTGAAATTTTCTTTCAGAATTGCATCTTCGAGATGAAAAGCTTTAAAGCCTTAAAAATATCCTTAACACGCATTCATAACACATATCTCTATTAAATGGGACTTCAAATGTTTGGCTCTTATTTGAACTAATATTATCAATCCGAAACATGAGGCAGAATAAAGTTTTTGTATTTAATTGCACCGAACAATTGAAAAAAAAAAAACTTTTTGTGTTATAATGTTCTCTCTTTTGATTAATTAATTTCTCAATATCAAAGAATCTTTAAAATATAAAGAGTAACAACGTAAAGATTAGACGAGAACTAAGAAATAAGTATTAAAGCAATCTTACAAAATGGTCTTTCTAGAGTTTAACTCACCACAGATTTCATTAATTCTCATTTTCTTTCATTTTATTATATATTTTATTAAATTTTCGAAATTCTAAATTTGTTCGGAATTGAAATCAATATGAAATGTTCTTTACTTGAATTGCGTAGAATCCCCGTTGGACTTATCGATGACGTTACTTGCTCATCATTCTCTGCCACCGATATCACACTCCTATTACGAGGTAGATGAATACGAATCGACATCCGAGGAATCCTCATCGTCAACGTTGTCGTTGGCCAGTGATCACCTCGATTGCAGCATCTTGACGACAATTAAGAGAGTGGAAAGAGTTTTATTGCCCTGCGAAGTCTGCGGCAAATCCTTCGACCGGCCGTCTCTTTTGAAACGACATATGAGAACGCACACAGGTACGAAACGAGAACTTGCGATTAACACATCCAGACAATGCCGATTCTTTGAAGTTTATTTTTATTAATTTAATATTGTTTTTCTTTTGATGCATGTGAAATATTGAATTGCGAAATACAGAACTTTTCTCTTTCTGAATATCTTCGAATTGCGACTAATATCGACGCAAACTATTAATCAACGCAAAATTTTAATTTTTGGCAAAATTTGAAAAAATTGTTGAAAAAAGTTGCTAAAGATTATGTATAAAAATTACAAAATCCGATTAATATTAATTAATAGATATTAAATTTTATTATCTCAATTTAAAGAATAGCGAAATTATATTTTCTCATATTGTAAAAAACAATTAATTTTAATGTTTTATTCTTAGAGTTTTGTACGCAAATATATACTTTTTTTTCATAGAGAAACATTAAAATTTTAATTTTATAATGCAACATTTAATTTTCGGTAAACTTTATTCAGTACTGTTGCGGCAAGAGAACAGCGCTGGGTAGAACTTGCTGAAAATCGAGCGTGCAAACTTTGCCAAGCTTTGGTGTAGATAATTTATCAAAATTTCAATTTTTTACATATTTTCACAAATTAATAATCCGTAGTATTATTATATATATCATTAGTTTTGTTAATGTCATTTCCTTATTATCTGTTAAAACTAATTTCTTGTTAGATTTACTGATATAAAGCCTAGAGATGCATTTAAATATCTCGATGTAACTTTTTTGAAATATGTCCTGGAAATGTTATTTCCGTATCTTACATAATGTCCTGGAAAGATATTTTCACTTATATAAACCTTACCACTTTATACATTCAAAAACGCCTGTACTAAAGTGACAACCTTGTAAATGTAAACCTATGTATGCCGAAAAATCAGGCAATTAATCTGAGTCCTGGAAAGTATATATATATATATATATATATATATATATATACATACAAAATCAATACAAACTTCATAGTAATTTGAAATGAACTTTTTGTAAAAAAATAAACATGTTTTTAATGATAAAATTAACTTGAAAAAATGTTATTGACGGTCTGTAGTCACTCTTACTTCTATTGTAGAATATAATCAACATTTTTTTTTTGTAAATTTTAACACATAAATCCTGTCACTAATAATACGAAATATATCGCTTGTGTAAAATTAAAAATATGTACACATTGTGTTATTTTTACACTTTTTTCAGTTGTTTTAATAATTTAACATTTGAGTTCAATTAACACAATAGCAATATATTAAATTAACATGAATGTGTTAAATATTTAACACAAAAATTTTAACCGGCATATTTTTTAACAAGAAAACACAAATTTTCTAACAGTGTAGATAGCCGTACAGAATATATTCGTTTTTGTAGTTTGGATAAATTTCTCAGTTCGCATATCCATGCACGAGATGACACGCGAAATCATGGTCACTTTTTAAAGGGATACGTTGTCCGCGTATAAATCGTTAGAGTCGAGTCATAAATCATATATAAAACGCGAAGGACCAACGCGGTAATTCAGGAATGATATTAAATTGAAGGAGAGAAACCGCATGTCTGCATGGTGTGCAACAAGGGTTTCTCAACCTCGAGCTCGCTGAACACGCATAAACGCATCCACAGTGGTGAAAAACCTCATCAGTGTCTTGTCTGCGGTAAGAAGTTCACAGCCTCGTCGAATCTCTACTATCATCGGATGACTCATATCAAAGTGAGTATTTGGCACATATTCCTTACACGCATTTTTCGCACCGAATAAAAAAAATTAAGAGGAAATGTTTGACGCTGCTACATCAATCAAAGTCTTGACTGTTATAATAAACAAGATTAGTATTATTCGAGAATTTTAAAAATTAATTAATTAAAAATTAAACAATACATAAAAATTGTTGCATAAAAACCGTTATGTATTAATTCTTTTGACTTTTAATTATAATTATACATATATATAATTCTGATTTCAAATATTGTTATCTCTAAATTTTGATAAGAGTATCAATAATTGATATTTCTATTTATAAATCAAGATAATCTAATATCGAGGCTGTTGTACGATTTAAAGCAATCGAAAAAAAGTTAGGCTTTATTCCGTGACACAATCGCGCTATCACTATACAAGATGTTCTAAAAATCCCGATCATAGTTTTAACTCTTTCGATATTATATAAGTCATATACAGGATGTTAAAAAAAAGAGTTCAAGACTTAAGGACAGATAATACTCACGAAATGGAACAAAAAAGTCCTAATAAACGTGGGTGGAAAAATTAATATTGTCGAAGTTATGAACAATTCTTCAATAACGGATTATTTTACCATTCCTTTATCCAAAAGAAGAATTTATTCTTCCAAAAGAAGCAAAAAGAATTCTTTAACACGCTTCAAATCTTCGTATGTACTTACATTTTCGTATCTTCTGTTACTTTTGGCAACTTCGAAAATTCAAAGCTTCGAAGTTCGAAGTTAACTTAATATATTCGTGCGAAAAGCGAATTCATTCAGGATACGTTAAAAATATTGTAAATAAAAGGAATTAATTAATATATATGCCCAAAAAATATGTAATTCAAAAATATGTAATGTTATTCAACATTAATTATTGCAATATTAGAAATTTTATTCGGATTTTATTATATAATTTTATAAATGTGTACTTCGATAGTAATCGTGTACTATTATATTAAATTAATAATTGTATAATTTTGATTCTTTGAAGCTTCAAAGATTGAAGTATCGAAGTTTCGAAGTTTCGAAGGTTCGAATGTCGAAGCCTTCGAAGCAAATCATTAGCCCTACTTTGTATCACAAAATTGCGAACTCTTTCAAAAATTTCCAGCGTTGTTCTAACTATTTGACAGGCATTTTGTATTTTCTGATGTAATTCGTCTACATGTTTGTTTTCTTGCCGCGCACGAACACCAAAAACGAGCAAGTTACTTGTTTTAACTAAAATGAAGAATTGTTTATAACTCCGACAATATTAATTTTTCGACCCATGTTTATTAGCATTTTTTCCACCGTTTCGTGAATACTATCTGCCCTTGAAATCCTGAATTTTTTTTTTTTAACATCCTGTATATGCATTCGAGAAATGTAGTTGACTAACAATAAGCCTGCTATGAACTAATATACCGTGTTCGACGAGTATTACTGGCATGTGGAATTTATATACATATACTTACGTGCGTTTAACGAATATAACTTTAACTCATATTACCTTTTCCTTATATACATATAATTATATGCGAAAAAATATCCAGTTTATAACGTGCATTCATGCAAATCTCATGTCATATACAGAGGGCGCTCCGCTTTTAACTGGTACACGTATACCGGCAAACAGTTCATAATAAATTGACAAATTTGATCTGTAGCCAATTATACATATTTTACAACTAAAGAATTTTTAAAAATGAGCAAAAGGGAAAAGGAACGGTAGCTCGATTTAGGTCGTGAAAAAAACATCAACTTCGAACGAGACTATTATTAATCCGGGAACGCAAAGATCCTCTCGCACTATTTCTACGAGCTCGCGCGTTTTCATCTCTTTGCTTCTCCGTAATTCCGCGTAAGCCTGGTAGAACTGGACTATCCAATAAGAAAAACCGAGCAATGATCGTGGATGACGATCAGAGGACGAGGGGAGGAGGAGAGGGGAGGAGAAAGGGGGAAGGTGAACGTGCGAAGTGATCGCGAGGATGCAAAGTTTTTGTTTATCTCAGCGGAAACTGTATGAGTTTCTCTAATCCCATTCGAAGTAATGATATCTCGGGAGCCATATAGGTTGGTCTGCCATCAGCTACTGTAATTGGCCCATTACTTGCTACCGCATGGAATGCAATCCAATTAGAGAGACAGAGATCGTATAGAGCCGGAGGCTCCTCAGCCACGTTACTCAACCCTCCCCCCCCCTGCTTCTCTTTCCTACCACCTCCCTCTACCCCCCTGTCGCCGTTGCACACACGTCCTGTTCATCCTGCTATTCCAACCTTCGTACGCGCGTGTCGTTTTGCTCTGATTTTCCCCTTCCGCTTCGTCGCCTTCGCTCTTCTTCTTCGATAGTAATCGTGTACTATTATATTAAATTAATAATTGTATAATTTTGATTCTTTGAAGCTTCAAAGATTGAAGTATCGAAGTTTCGAAGTTTCGAAGGTTCGAATGTCGAAGCCTTCGAAGCAAATCATTAGCCCTACTTTGTATCACAAAATTGCGAACTCTTTCAAAAATTTCCAGCGTTGTTCTAACTATTTGACAGGCATTTTGTATTTTCTGATGTAATTCGTCTACATGTTTGTTTTCTTGCCGCGCACGAACACCAAAAACGAGCAAGTTACTTGTTTTAACTAAAATGAAGAATTGTTTATAACTCCGACAATATTAATTTTTCGACCCATGTTTATTAGCATTTTTTCCACCGTTTCGTGAATACTATCTGCCCTTGAAATCCTGAATTTTTTTTTTTAACATCCTGTATATGCATTCGAGAAATGTAGTTGACTAACAATAAGCCTGCTATGAACTAATATACCGTGTTCGACGAGTATTACTGGCATGTGGAATTTATATACATATACTTACGTGCGTTTAACGAATATAACTTTAACTCATATTACCTTTTCCTTATATACATATAATTATATGCGAAAAAATATCCAGTTTATAACGTGCATTCATGCAAATCTCATGTCATATACAGAGGGCGCTCCGCTTTTAACTGGTACACGTATACCGGCAAACAGTTCATAATAAATTGACAAATTTGATCTGTAGCCAATTATACATATTTTACAACTAAAGAATTTTTAAAAATGAGCAAAAGGGAAAAGGAACGGTAGCTCGATTTAGGTCGTGAAAAAAACATCAACTTCGAACGAGACTATTATTAATCCGGGAACGCAAAGATCCTCTCGCACTATTTCTACGAGCTCGCGCGTTTTCATCTCTTTGCTTCTCCGTAATTCCGCGTAAGCCTGGTAGAACTGGACTATCCAATAAGAAAAACCGAGCAATGATCGTGGATGACGATCAGAGGACGAGGGGAGGAGGAGAGGGGAGGAGAAAGGGGGAAGGTGAACGTGCGAAGTGATCGCGAGGATGCAAAGTTTTTGTTTATCTCAGCGGAAACTGTATGAGTTTCTCTAATCCCATTCGAAGTAATGATATCTCGGGAGCCATATAGGTTGGTCTGCCATCAGCTACTGTAATTGGCCCATTACTTGCTACCGCATGGAATGCAATCCAATTAGAGAGACAGAGATCGTATAGAGCCGGAGGCTCCTCAGCCACGTTACTCAACCCTCCCCCCCCTGCTTCTCTTTCCTACCACCTCCCTCTACCCCCCTGTCGCCGTTGCACACACGTCCTGTTCATCCTGCTATTCCAACCTTCGTACGCGCGTGTCGTTTTGCTCTGATTTTCCCCTTCCGCTTCGTCGCCTTCGCTCTTCTTCTCGCCCTTCTTTTGCGGTGAGATTCTTCCAAATTTCGCCCTCTTACCTGTCTCACAAAATTCTTGGCACGACAGATGCCTTCGCAAAAATTGAACGTGCCAATCGGAAGTGAATAACGACATCGTTCAATCGTTCCAGCTGACTACCGCACTTTTGCCGCTTTCTTTGAGTAAAGCACATCCGATACTCGACGGTCATGTCATTCTTGTTTAATGAATATATTTGATCTTATTATAACGACGGATATATTTCAGCGTCGTAAATCTTGTTTCGCTTTCTTGCTTAAAGGAATCGAGAGAAGATCAATGAATTAATTTTGTCTTGGAAATAAATGTTGCGCAGTACAAATAATAGATTACACCAATTAAATAAGATTAACATGATTAGAATAAAACGTATAAAATTAAATAAAAAATATAAACCTCTCTCTTTTGATTTAGAAAATATTGATATAGCATGCATCATGCTTTCAAAAAAAAGGTGACATAATCTGAATTGGCAATCTCTCCAGATGACAGAGATAGAGACCGATTTAAAATTTATTTAGACAGATTCAATAATTTTCCCGTAGAATTAAAAATTTCTATGTTGATAAAAAAATAGATATCCATTCATGTTTATTCATATATGTTATATAAACGATTAAATATTTCTCCCTGAACGTATTTATATGTATAATTGTATGGTCCCCAATTTAATTAATAAATATTATATGATTTGATCCCACAGTGAGCAAGAAAAATTAAATCAATATTTTGAAATATTAATTTTATGTAAACTTTCGTAACGTTAAACATATTATTTTATAATATGGTATTTTTGAGCATCATTGAAATGTTTCCAAAACATTAATATCAAATATTTTTTCAATGTTATTTTAACACATTATAAGAAAAACATTTGCGCAACATTATTCGCAATATTAAAGCACTTTCATCATTTTAACGTTATTAAAACCCTGAAATCGGTGTCAAAGTTTATTCATAATGATGTCGATTACTACATACTTAACAACATTACATATTACTGAATATCGTTATAATAACGTTATATGATTTTTTGCTTATTGGAATGTTAATATAAATTCATGAAATATCGTATAAAAAATATTTCTTCTTTACAACACAAATGTTTTATATCATTTTTTATTTCCGTTACTATGATTAATAAGAAAAAAAACAAATTCTTGATTATTTAAAATTATATTTATACATAATCACGCTATACACACGTATAATTCTTTCGATCGCGTTCCATTCTCGTCTTATGTAGCTGCGAACGTCAAAGAAGCCTGCGAGAGCGGGAACTCATATACTTGCGGATGCATCGCACCCGTACCTATCGGCAGGTGCATCCGAGATTACGCGTGTAAAACGAGAGAAGATGTAGCATGCGTGTGTACACGTACACTACGCAACAAGAAGAAGTGATGCGTTGCTGGCGGCCTTAACGAGCCGCATACGCACCGGTTTTAGTTTAGCAAGGTTATTTGCTAAACGGCCTTCCTGCCTGCTTGAGTAATTGCCACTGGAATATCATCGAGAGCGCAGCTGAACCGTTTTTAATCATTAGTCAAAAAAGCTTCGCCGCTAACTAAAATATCTCCCTCAGAAGTTTACAAAATTGCGCGCCTTCTGTTCAAATTGTCCGACAAACTGTGAATCTATTTATTTTTAATAAAAATTTTGTAATAATAAAATTTTAATTGTGTAGCATACTACGTATAGCACATGACAATTTGAAGATTACAACATAGGCTTAAAAATATGTAAAAAAAATAATGAGATAATGGGATTCCTTAATTAAGTCACAGATGTGACTTTGTATAACTTACTTTCCATTCTGTTCTTCATATTAATATACTAAAAATAATTTTTTTTCAGTAAAATAAATATATTTTGTTAAATTTAATTTTTTTTTACTTGAATAAACATACACTTTGTTTTCAAAAATGTTTTGTTATATTAAATAAATTATTATGTAATAAAAATTGTAATTTTTGAAATAAATTATTATTTGAATGTAATAAAAATTATAATTTTTTAAATAAATTATTATTTGCATGTAATAAAAAAAAATTATTTATTAAAATAAAGAAAACCTGTTTATTAAAACATGCAACCAAAAATTAAAAAATATTTTTTCAGAAGAAGTAATTTAATATAATAAAGATAAAAAACTAATTTTTTTTATTTACAAATAAAAACACTTTACTTCTATTTTATATATATTTTATTAATTCAAATATATTTGCCGCTTGATTGAAATAATTAATTCCTTTGCATTATTTAAATAAATAATTCTTTTTAATAAAAAAATTTTTTTTTGAATTTGGTACATTTTTTCAATGTAGAATACCCAGTTAGCACATTATTCGGATTGTAGCATCCATCGTAAAATATTTTGTTACGTTTTTTTAGGAGAAGCCACACAAATGTTCGCAATGTTCAAAATCATGCCCTACACCGGGTGACCTGAAAAGCCACATGTACGTGCATAATGGGCTCTGGCCATTCAGATGTCACATTTGCAGCCGCGGCTTCAGTAAACCGACCAACTTGAAGAATCACATGCTACTTCATCTAGGTAGATGCTCCAATAAGAAGTACATCAAGTCTATTTCCGACTTGTGACTGACATGAATATTGTATGACAAATCTCGTGAAAGCTTCGACAACACGATTTAAAGATTGCTGGTATAGACGTATACACACGTGCCATTCTTGGTCAAATATGTAATTGTAAAAAAAGACGATCATAAGCAATATTACCTAGTGTTATGACTGATTTAGATTACATTATGTAAAAGCACACACTTGTCCAATAATGTAAATTTTTTGTCAAAGATGTTTTTAGTTATTTGATAATTAATATTATAATATTATAATTATTTAATCGCGTAATTAATATATTATTTCTTTAAGTGTGGATACAGCGTTTATATCGAAAAAGTTCTTCTTAAGCGTAATGTACTTTGGATTTTACCCAATGGATACGATATAATAATGCTACAATAACCAATCAGGATAAACCTGTATTGCTTCAATTGTTTCTATTTCCATTGTTTTTCCATAAATTTAATCATTAAAAAATATCCTGTAAGAAGATATTGTTAACAAGCTTTTCTCATTATGTAAGTTGATTTTATCATCTTTAGTCATCCAAAATTTTATCTTATCTTTATTATTTATTTAGGTATTATTTAAAATTAATCTTTAAAAATTGAGTGGTTTCTTTGATGACCTATTTAGTTTTCAACTTAAAATTGTAATTTAAATATATACTAAAGTAATATTTGAAAAAAAGGTGAAACCAGTTTAGAGCTTACAATTTTAAAAAGTTCGGTATCTAAAGGTTAATTTGATATAATATTGAGAGAACAAATAAGCCACTTTGTACAAACATAAAAGTTCTTCGTGACATGAAGGGCGCAAGTTGCCTTTTTCATAATAATCATAAGCAATAATTAAAGATACTGTGTCAGATATTTTAAGAAATGTACTTATATAGTATATGTATGTATATGTACATGCGATAAAATTATGTATTGTAGCGCACTTTCTTTATAGGAAACGCGGCAATTTTTGTTTCATCGATCTCTTACCTATTGTTCATTCTTAGATATTTTTATCAAGGTATTGTTTTAAATAAATATTAGTTGGACCTTTTTCACAGACGATTTATTTGATTGGATGATTGATGTGTGCTTTTTTTTTAACCGGTGTAAAAGCATTATAAGTCGCGCACGGGATGATACATACTTCTCATTTCGTTCCATAATTTCGAATGTTGGAATACAAAAAGATTGGCCACACGCATATCCTCTGTAAATATTCTATTAAACGGAACACAATTTGGAGATGTTTAGATTTTCACAATTTTTCCTCATTTTTTCTTTCCTTTTTTTTCTTTACGCAATTTTATGCAACTCGTGTGGATATTTTTTTTGTACGCAATATTTATCTATATCTCTTAATATTAATACACGCCACCGGAGCCGCCACTGCCGAGTCCGGCTTTTGTGTCAACAGGTACTTGTTTTTGAAAGCAATCCTCCAAGAACTGCTCCATCGAAAGATACAAATGTCCCTTAACGCCCGCCAAAGTATGACTTACATCCGGATAGACCTATGCATTAGTCAACAAATGCATGCTTTCAAGTTGCAAGTTCATAATTTCTGTTATAATAACACTGTTGGAAAATTTGGCTTAAATTTAATATACAGGGCAATGAAAAATTAAGTACGATAAATTTGTGTGATGAAAGAAGGGGCCAATACAAGCATTTTAAATATAGGAACCATGGGTCGATGACGCTTCGTTATGGCGTGACGGGTGTTTAATTGAATCGTCACAAAGCCTGCGATGCAATGATTTTATTCCGTCAATTTGACATGTTGATAATAAATGTTCATTTTTTCGATTTTTCAATTCAGATTATTTCAAAGAAAACAAACTCCAGCTACTCGTTTCCCACTGTTAGTAGCATAGCTCGACTGACAACGTCGTGATCACTGCAGCTTGGCTGAGAAAAAATGGGGAGAGTGAAAGAGACCTTATAAGCATCTTGAGAGGTAAACAAACGAGAGACAAACACACGAACTAACAAACGTTGCTTGCATCGCAGGCGTTGTGACGATTCATTAAACGCCCGTCACGCCGTAACGAAGCGTTGTCGATCCATGGTTCCTATATTTAAAATGCTTGTATTAGTCCCTTCTTTCATTACACTAATTTATGGTACTTAATTTTTCATCACCCTGTATATCACATGTATCAAATGGCCCACATAAATTTTTGTGTTAATTTAACATAATATAGATATGTTAAATGGTGACAGTAACACTATGTTAATGTTTCAATACAAAATGAATGCGAATTTCATAGTAATCTCAAATAAATTTTGTGTAAAATCAATATATTTTTAATGATAAAATTAACTTGGAAAAATGTTATTGATGGTCTGTAGTCACTCTCACTCCTATTGTAGAATAAAATCAACACAATTTTCTGTAAATTTTAACAAATAAATTCTATTACTAATAATATAGAACATATCTATTATGTAAAACTGAAAAATATACACATTGTGTTAATTGTACTTCTTTTTAATTGTTTTAATAATTTAATACATTTGAGTTCAATTAACACAACAGTAATATGTTAAATTAACACATAAATGTGTTAAATATTTAATACAAGAATTTTAACCGGCATATCTTTTTAACAAAAAAATACAAATTTTTCAACAGTATAGTTTATAGTTATTTGCAATATGACTATAAATATCATGTTAATTAAAGCTGACGTTTAATTTAATTTGAAAAAGATGTTTCTGTATTTTAATTTAAAGAAGGATAAAGAATATGTGCGTCTTACGAAAAAAAAAAAAAAAAAATGTCGGAATACCTGCTGCCGAAAGAGTATGCCTTTTTTAGCGAGATGACGGGCAAGCGCCATGGACTGTTGGAATTGGACGTTGTCATCTGCAGTTCCGTGTACCAAATAAAACATCTTATCGTGTAGATATTCAACTTTGTCGTAAACGTTGGATTCGGCATAGCCTTTGTAGTTGGACGTCACGTTTGGTAATCCCATGTACCTCTCGGCGTACGCGGAATCTGTGCAATAATGATTAAGAAAATACAGAGATATTCTCTGAAAGATTTCGATTTCAGTATAGTGATCCACAGTTACCGTAAAGTTCCCAGGAGACGACAGGCGCGACGCTTATTCCGCACTGAAATACGTTTTGCTTCGGATGAGCCAGGACAAGAGCAGCAACGAAACCGCCGTAACTCCATCCCCAAACAGCGACTCTTCGTTTATCCACAAAGTGTAACGAGTCCCGTAAGTATCTGAATAATCGCAAATATATTGGATATAAAGAATATTGTATGTATGTATGTATGTAAGTTAGTTTTACAAATTTTACGAAAAGAATCCTCTAGAAACCGGTGTTTTATAAGCAGTATATACATATATTCAAGGAATTTTGTTTATTATAAGAATAAAAATGACTTTTAAAATATATGAACAATTAAACGGAAAAACTGGCAGATAAGAGCCCAGGCGCGGGTATCGGTGCGCAAACTTATTATTGTTAAATTCAATTAGCCAATGTGCATTTAAAAATGTACGTTTCGGACCGTTTTTTGGTCCATTTTCAGTATAGGTATAAATATATAGAGATCAAATTGGAATTTGAAAACCTGACATGCACCACATCTGCAGTTGCAGTCGAATCTCAAATTAAAATTAATAATCGGGAAAGGGATTCACTAAGACCCGCGTGAAATCTGTACAATTAAGTGGACAACGTCCAATCGCCATCGCCACATGTATATCGTCGATGGCAATTGGACCAATTATCTGCTTTTATCTGCCAGTTTTTCCATTTAATTGTTCATACCCTGAGCCTAATGCTGTCATTATTAAAATATATGAGTTTAAGAGGCAAGATCTGTGGAGCGCAGAATCAATATCGTGCTTACTCCGTGACTTCAAGTTGGTCAGCCACTTCCACGGAACCTAGCCGATAATAAACCTCATGAAGTAATTTATAGCCTTGTCCTCCGCTTCCTCTGCCATCGATCTGTGCGACAATCACATTTTTCCGACTAGCTAAATACGTGTTCCAATCTATTTTAAACATCTCAGTGACTAGTTGCGACCCAGGAGCACCGTATCTGTAAAAAGAAACTAGATATTCCACAAGTGAAAAATAAAGAGTTTTCTTATCATTAATAGCTTATATTTGGTAGATAAATTATTTAATAAATAAATGAATCAAAGAAAAACATAATATAAAAATATTTTATATTGCTCGTTTTATATATAATATTCTAAATCTAAATCAATTATGAACAAATTAAATAGATCACGATTTACATATATCTAATCATACCACATAAATTAATCGGCAATTGTACCAGTAATTGATTTAAGAATATACAGGGTGTGCGTCCATAAATGTTCGAGCAAATATCTCACAACTAATTGAAGTTACAAGAAAATTTAATAAGAAAAATTAGCACAGTTTTTAATCCGCGATAAAGCGCACATAAACATTTTTTTTTACTCGTAACCTTTTCAGGTTATAAAGGTCATTGTTTTTTTAAATAGAACCTCTTATTTTTCGTTGCATATTCTTATATTCCTTTTTGAGATCTTTTCAAAACATTATAATAAAGTATTTTTTCATTAAATATTTTTTGAGTTATTCTATATCTTAACTATATTTTATATCTGACATATTTTGATATAAAATATTTCGTAAAATATTTCGTTTTCGATAATTTCACCGTAATACTTTCATACAAAGAATAATGAGATGAATCAATTGTTGTAAAAAAAACCAATAATTGTTTTAAAAAAATACATTGTAAATAATTACATATTTTTTTTTTAAAACAATTATTTTTTTTATACTAATTGATTTGTTTCATCATTCTGTACAAAAAAGTATTACGGTAAGATTATCGAAAACTAAATATTTTACGAAATATTTTATATTTTGTATCAAAATATGTCAGATTAAGATATAAAACAACTCGAAAAATATTTAATGAAAAAATACTTTATTATAATGTTTTGAAAAGATCTCAAAAAGGAATATAAGAATATGCAACGAAAAATAAGAGGTTCTATTTAAAAAAACAATGACCTTTATAACCTGAAAAGGTTACGAGTAAAAAAAAATGTTTATGTGCGCTTTATCGCGGATTAAAAACTGTGCTAATTTTTCTTATTAAATTTTCTTGTAACTTCAATTAGTTGTGAGATATTTGCTCGAACATTTATGGACGCACACCCTGTATATTCTTAAATCAATTACTGGTACAATTGCCGATTAATTTATGTGGTATGATTAGATATATGTAAATCGTGATCTATTTAATTTGTTCATAATTGATTTAGATTTAGAATATTATATATAAAACGAGCAATATAAAATATTTTTATATTATGTTTTTCTTTGATAAAAAAAATTTATCGATTTCATAATACTATACGTGATCGATAATTTCGATCACGACATATCAGTTACAATATTTTTTAGCCGTCTATAAATAATTCTGCGATCGTCTGGCACAACCGGCTCCGACCCATTTCAGAAACCGATTTCATACCCATCGAACTTGACAGCGCTTCCAGGGTGCCTGCCACTCGATCTGATATCATCGATAGAGACCTCGATGTACGATTAATGTTCTTACACGTCGGTTAGGTTTTACTTGTGTCCAAATGGAGTACATAATTTTTCATCTGTCGTAATGATATACGATACTTTATAATTTAGCGAAGCATATGAGTGAATAATAAATTCAATTGTCTGCGAGAAATAATTCTGATCATTTTATAATCGGTAATACATAGTGAGAGATAAAAAATCAAACTCGTATAATATTATCAAGGATATTGATGTATAAATGATGTCATATTTATACGTTATAGATATAATTAGAAAGATAATTACAAAGAAATATAATGCTTGCTTTTAAATTGAGTTGTTAAAATTGCGGTCGTCCTCGCAACACGGACGGTTGAAAGAAATTCACATTTGAATAAGTACAAAGTACGCGAAAAATACGACTTGACCGCGAGAATCATCGGGAGATACTCGGGAAATTGGGGTTTAAATTTCGGTCGACTCATACGGCGAAATCGGCTTTATTGCGGCGCATCCGAAATATATAGGAGCACGGGGACTTCACTTTCGCACCTGGGCTCGCGGCATCTGGAATACATGTTGCGGTTTTATAGGCTGAGTTATGGAGCGGAATGTTATTTCGCATACCGTACCGGTTATTGCGAATGATAGACGAAGTATCGCGTGACAAGCGAGACGCAATCAGTGATTCACGCTCTGCATGTGTCATTCGGCTATTAAATTTTAATATCATCGGTGCGCGATGAATCTCTCGCCTGTCGGTGAGATCTATTTATTTTGCTATCCAATACTTGCGACAAATCGAGGGTTACTTTCAACGGAATGCGAGAGATTTTACGAAATAAATAATCACGCGGATTAGTTTTACAATTGAATCTCGGGATATCGAACGATGGATTCGTTTGATTGTTACCGGGTTGCTGTCTCGGCGCGTGCCGGAAGAAGACAATCGAGCGACAGCTGCAACGCGACCGCGTCGCGATGACGAGCTCTCGCCTTGTGTCGGAGCGTGCGTTCATTTCGCAATACGCTAGAGCTATAAAATATCGTTGCGCAATCGCCGCCGCGCGACTGCTGCACAATGGCGCGAGGTACCGAGTGAAAGGCGACGAGATACATCGCGCACAGCTGCTAGCACGAACGGCCGACACGCGAACGATCTCGCGATGCAGGAAAGAAAAAAAAAGGGATGTCTTCTTGCGCGGAACGAAATACCGATTATAAAATGGAACTCGTCGAGAGACAAGTGACATAATCGTCGCTACCGGACGCAAAATTCGCCTTTCGAAATCGGAATTGTTGCGGCGATTACACCGGCAAATTGTATCAAGCATGCCGTTTGTAGTACCGTGATTACGCGGTTACGATTTGCTGACCCAATTTGTCGTTTACCATACGATCCGTTTGTTCCTCGAAATTGTCCAACGGCGATGCGAGCTCGATAAAACTTGGATCGTTTCGCCAAGCGACTAGCTACAGACGGTCTACGGCATATGCCACGACAATCCGTCGTTACGTAAAGGTCGCATTTTTACCCGCGACGCGATTGCGTTGTTCTCGACAACAATCGTAATAAATTGTTTTTTAATTCTGCGCGTGCACAAATCTATTATGCGCTTTATCTCGCGTCTAGTTTACGAGCTATCGAATTAAGCAATACGTTGGTTACAAAAGTTAAGCTGTACAAGTCGAGATTATAAAAATAATATTATATTCGTCTACTTTCGAAAAATTGATAATAAAAGATTTAGAAAATAGATAATTTAAATCGTACAATTAAGAAGATCTAACAGAAAATAGTATTTAATATGACATAACACTGACGTGGCGTTAAAATGCAGAAATTTTTATATGCTTATAGTGTATATGTTCTTTAGCGGTCAAATATTCACTTTTACAACAGTCTTAATATAGATCGACGATAACGCGGCCGTTATAGCTTTTATATACTTCGAAGTATACTCCATCGAGCTTAACGGAGATCGATATGACTTCCCTTAGATATACATGTCATCCTAAGAATTTACGCATATCGCGTTATTAAATCACCTTTCTTTCTCACGTGTCAAGTCAAAAGAAAATGGCTTAAGAATTTATTTAAATTTGTTATTCGTTAATGCACATCACGTATATAAGACTTATATAATTATATTAAATAAATTAATATTATAATAGAAAAATATAAAAGATAAGAAGTCGAAAAAATTTGCCTGGAGATAACCGTATCATCTTCCTAGCGATTTAAATGCCACAAAGTGTACACCAGCGGGTCCCGAGTGCTAACCGGCCGGCGAACACAGCAGCCGGCTGAAAGTGGTTGATATTAAAGAGCATGGCGGTCGTTCCTTTCAAATGCCGCTCCGACATTTGACGAGGTCAAAACGGTGCGCACGATTCGTCGTCGATACCGAGAGCGGCGGAGTCGCACTACGTTCGATACGTTCGAACTATGCGAGAGGAAGGGTGACGCGAGTAATTCACAGTACTTTCACAGCGGTATATACATGACAAACGACGCGAGTGACAGATAATGCACGTTGCGCGAATTACGATCATTGTAGAGAAGTCCGAGCACTATAGACTGACACTATACTCTGATTGGAGTTGGACGTTATTATAACGGCGCTGCCAGTTGTTACCATTATTCGTTCTTTGACATATCGCAAATGTAAATGATGAGTTGTGTATTTTATACCATCATTATTAATGACTAATCGTAAAAACAAATATTTATGAAGAAAATAATTAAAAAAAACTTTTATAAAAAAATTTTAGAGAACAAATTTTTCGATAAGTTGATCTAAAATATATCATTTTGCAAGATATATGCAATGAACTTTTTCCGAGATTTTAGCGAGTCGCAAGTTTCCAATGTTTTCACGAAAACACGTTTCGACCTCTATAATAAATGCTTTCTCATGATTTATGGGACACTCCGCGCATCGGCAATTTCGAGCAATGCGATTTACACCTTGGTTTACCACGGTAAGCTTTGGAAATGGGGAAGACTGTAGTTCGTGATGCTCGACTGTCTGACAAATAAAACATGAAGCCGGCGCAACCGTTAGTAAATACTTGATGACAGCCAGTCTCGAGCGATGGAATATCGACGCCAAGTCTTATTTGGAACGCCGGAAGCTTGCCAATTTTGCCACAGCCTCCGCGCATCCTCGAAGATCCTTGAATGGATGTGGCGGCGCGGATGCCAAAAGGATAGGACGAATAAGTGGAATATTAGATTTTTCGAGGTCGAATAAAACAATGGCAGCTGCGAGACACGTGAGACCGAGTATGTGTACGTTAGAATGCATGAAAAGATGCGAGAAACTAAACGCGCACTGACGTAAGAACGCGAAGCTTCGACATCGCGAACTGTTCTGTTCTCGTTGCATTTGAGTGTGAAGGTCTCTCTTCGAATGGTATGTTAAGAAAACATGGCATGGATTTACAAAACTCGGTCACTTATCGTTCACCCATAAGAAACACAATAAGTCGTACGATAATCACAATGAGCGATCAATATTGCGTATTAAAAATGTAATTTCCCTGATAATAAAAAATTATTAGCAAGCGAGAAACATTTAATACTCAATTATTCCAAATCTTTAAGCTCAGTCTCTCTTCTTTTATCGAAAAAGTTTAGGAATTTATTTACAGTCTTGTGTCTACGCCTGCTCATCGTCGACTGACTTCTGTGTTGACATTTGAAATACTATTATACCTTACTACATGTTTTGTTTTCTACCAACGCGGTTGAATACAAAAACAAACAAAAGAAATGTTATTATTTTACACAAGCTCCGTCTTTTTCAAAAGAACTGAGTTTTATTCGAAAAACAAGAATGTAAACAAAACATCTCGGCTGTTTCACGCAAAAACAAAAAATGAAACTGCGGTTATTTTACAATTTTACACGAATAAAATAAAATCCGCGACAAATTAGTCTTCCAAATAGTCGCCGTTTTATCTTGCAAGAAATCTCTCGAATTCACTTCGCGTTGATTCATCGTCGTATATCATACATTTACGTATATTCATGACGATATTTTTTGCGTTGTTTCGTCCGCGATATCTTTTATCGATCATAAATATTCAACGATGGTCGTAATCCAAGATTTATCTATGTGTCTATGTACATTCCCCTGTCTGTCTATTTGAGTGCGTATCCCCGTGATAAAATGGTGGTGTAACATTTTGGACGGCAGGCGAGGAAAAACGGAGAAGCAAATGGTCCATTCCGTCGGAAAGATTGACGCGTCGAAAATTGTTGTCTAAGTAAGATCTCGAGAGACGAATTTTCGCGCAAGATAAAGAAGAAAAAAAAAAATGGGCGTTTTAAAAAAAAAAAAAAAAAAAAATGTCGGAATACCTGCTGCCGAAAGAGTATGCCTTTTTTAGCGAGATGACGGGCAAGCGCCATGGACTGTTGGAATTGGACGTTGTCATCTGCAGTTCCGTGTACCAAATAAAACATCTTATCGTGTAGATATTCAACTTTGTCGTAAACGTTGGATTCGGCATAGCCTTTGTAGTTGGACGTCACGTTTGGTAATCCCATGTACCTCTCGGCGTACGCGGAATCTGTGCAATAATGATTAAGAAAATACAGAGATATTCTCTGAAAGATTTCGATTTCAGTATAGTGATCCACAGTTACCGTAAAGTTCCCAGGAGACGACAGGCGCGACGCTTATTCCGCACTGAAATACGTTTTGCTTCGGATGAGCCAGGACAAGAGCAGCAACGAAACCGCCGTAACTCCATCCCCAAACAGCGACTCTTCGTTTATCCACAAAGTGTAACGAGTCCCGTAAGTATCTGAATAATCGCAAATATATTGGATATAAAGAATATTGTATGTATGTATGTATGTAAGTTAGTTTTACAAATTTTACGAAAAGAATCCTCTAGAAACCGGTGTTTTATAAGCAGTATATACATATATTCAAGGAATTTTGTTTATTATAAGAATAAAAATGACTTTTAAAATATATGAACAATTAAACGGAAAAACTGGCAGATAAGAGCCCAGGCGCGGGTATCGGTGCGCAAACTTATTATTGTTAAATTCAATTAGCCAATGTGCATTTAAAAATGTACGTTTCGGACCGTTTTTTGGTCCATTTTCAGTATAGGTATAAATATATAGAGATCAAATTGGAATTTGAAAACCTGACATGCACCACATCTGCAGTTGCAGTCGAATCTCAAATTAAAATTAATAATCGGGAAAGGGATTCACTAAGACCCGCGTGAAATCTGTACAATTAAGTGGACAACGTCCAATCGCCATCGCCACATGTATATCGTCGATGGCAATTGGACCAATTATCTGCTTTTATCTGCCAGTTTTTCCATTTAATTGTTCATACCCTGAGCCTAATGCTGTCATTATTAAAATATATGAGTTTAAGAGGCAAGATCTGTGGAGCGCAGAATCAATATCGTGCTTACTCCGTGACTTCAAGTTGGTCAGCCACTTCCACGGAACCTAGCCGATAATAAACCTCATGAAGTAATTTATAGCCTTGTCCTCCGCTTCCTCTGCCATCGATCTGTGCGACAATCACATTTTTCCGACTAGCTAAATACGTGTTCCAATCTATTTTAAACATCTCAGTGACTAGTTGCGACCCAGGAGCACCGTATCTGTAAAAAGAAACTAGATATTCCACAAGTGAAAAATAAAGAGTTTTCTTATCATTAATAGCTTATATTTGGTAGATAAATTATTTAATAAATAAATGAATCAAAGAAAAACATAATATAAAAATATTTTATATTGCTCGTTTTATATATAATATTCTAAATCTAAATCAATTATGAACAAATTAAATAGATCACGATTTACATATATCTAATCATACCACATAAATTAATCGGCAATTGTACCAGTAATTGATTTAAGAATATACAGGGTGTGCGTCCATAAATGTTCGAGCAAATATCTCACAACTAATTGAAGTTACAAGAAAATTTAATAAGAAAAATTAGCACAGTTTTTAATCCGCGATAAAGCGCACATAAACATTTTTTTTTACTCGTAACCTTTTCAGGTTATAAAGGTCATTGTTTTTTTAAATAGAACCTCTTATTTTTCGTTGCATATTCTTATATTCCTTTTTGAGATCTTTTCAAAACATTATAATAAAGTATTTTTTCATTAAATATTTTTTGAGTTATTCTATATCTTAACTATATTTTATATCTGACATATTTTGATATAAAATATTTCGTAAAATATTTCGTTTTCGATAATTTCACCGTAATACTTTCATACAAAGAATAATGAGATGAATCAATTGTTGTAAAAAAAACCAATAATTGTTTTAAAAAAATACATTGTAAATAATTACATATTTTTTTTTTAAAACAATTATTTTTTTTATACTAATTGATTTGTTTCATCATTCTGTACAAAAAAGTATTACGGTAAGATTATCGAAACGAAAAATATTTAATGAAAAAATACTTTATTATAATGTTTTGAAAAAATCTCAAAAAGAGTTATAAGAATATGTAATAAAAAATAGGGGGTTCCATTTACAAAAACGATGAACTTTATAACTTGAAAAGTTACGAGTAAAAGAATTTTTTTTGTATGCGCTTTATTGCGGACTAAAAATCGTGCTAATTTTTTTTATTAAACTTTCTTGTAACTTCAATTAGTTGTGAGATATTTGCCCGGACATTTATGGACGGATACCTTGTATAGTATATAATACAAGTACTTAGAAGCAACTCAGTTTGTGAGGATTTGTAATTTGAAAGGTAAATGTTCAGATTAACTTACACCTCACGGATCATTTTCATTTTTACATATATTATAGAAGGCACATTCCTAAATAACACGCACTTTGAATTTTGTGGCGCTCTCTTCTGGTTTCAGAGATATGCGATTTTGAGGTATCATAATTTTCGCATTTATTTCTATGATCTTTTCACTATATCTTACTTGCGTGTTTATGTTTTGTTGTTTACATTTGCGTCACTATATGTCAGTATATTTTCGCTAAGAATTTCTTTTGTTTACATTTAGAGTTGTTTTTATGTTACTGCTAGTACGCTTCAGAATCGTACACTTGTTCAGTTCCGCTAGAAATTTCAAAAGAAATACAGCAACGAAGCCTTAAATTTCTATCCATTACTGCAGATAAAAATATTGCTTCTCCACGTAAAGCGAGGTTCAATGCAAATCTATGTGTCTAGTTTTTTGATAGTGGAGCCCCCCCGCAGGGAGGGGGGCGGAACATATTGTCTCCACGCATATACTTTTTAATGCGAAGTAAGGTTTCACAGG